AGGAGGTGATCTCCAGAGGTCCCTTCCAACCCTTACCATGCTGGGATTCTGTAAGGGGGTTCACTTATGCTGTCAGGTCTTGCTGTGTTCTGCACTGATTTGGAGGCTCTCCTTTCCCACAGCCAACGTGTCTCACTTGACCACATCCCTCTGCGAGGGGTCAGAACAGGAAAGGGGGAGTTTCTTGCAGGTTGTACCTCAGTGAGTATATGAATGTTCACCTCAGAAAAGGAGGTGGCAGTGCTCATGTTGTCCCAAATCTGGGTTCTTTACCTGGTGTGCAGAAAACAAGCTGACACCCAGAGTGGAGACAGTTTTTTTTATTTGGTTCTGCAGAGGACAAGGTGCTCATTCGTAGAGCTGCACACCCCCAGGAATCACAGAGGGTCTTGGGTACAAAAAGATAACTCTGGGGAAGTCACACCACAGAACTGATTGTGATCAGCAGTACAGATTGGCTACTGATGATTACATTGCAAGCGTTCATTTGCTCATGTCTTGACTCCTGTCCAGCTCGTTATGCTAAGGCTGGCCTACATTTACGTGTAAAGTCATAGAATCATTCAGGTTGGAAAAGACCTCCAAGGTCATCAGGTCCAACCATCAACAGAACACTACCAGCACCACTCAGCCGTGTCCTGAAGTGCCACGTCCACATGGTTTTTGAACCCCTCCAGGGCTGGGGACTCCAGCACCTCCCTGGGCAGCCTGGGCCAAGGCCTCACCACTCTGGCAGGAGAGAAACGCTGCCTCAGATCCAATCAAAACCTCCCCTGAGGCAAATTAAATCCATACTTAAGTAACTTAAGTCCCCTTTGGGAGGTGTGTTTTTTTAGTATTATAATGTATTATAATGAGCTTAATGTAACTAAAGGTTACATCTTGATTCTGTCATCCATCACCAAGTCTCTGACCAACTGCATTGTTACACTTCCTACCCAAACCTTATAAAATCAGTGCCTGGACCTAATGCCAGCAATGGTTAACTGGAAGCTAATTGCATGTTTGTGCTCTTGGGGACACAAGTTCTAGTTCTAGTCAGCAGACTGTGGTTGCCTAACTTTGTAATTCCGTGCTTGCCTGATATTGGTCATTTTTAACTTTCTTCATGTCACTGACATGAGGCAGAATAGAAATGCCATAAAGTGGATGAGGCAAAATTGGTTTGGGACGTGCATCCTTGTGCATTCTTCCAGGGACCAGTGCTGAGATTTCTTGTGGACTGTGAAATAGCTTGTTTCCAAAACTGACTGCCCTATTTGTAATCTGAGTGTTGTAGTGACTGGAGCTGTTACTGTAAAGATGAGAGCTGAAATGGTAGTGTGCTACTGTGGAATTTAAAATACCTCATTTTGCACTCTCTTGCCTTGGATTTACAATAGGAGAGAGAAGGATTGTGGGCAGGTAGCCTGGGAAGATGAAATGAGAACTGATTTGAGTGCCTGAACACGGAGGAAGCTTTGGGGTTACGGGTTGGTAGCAGGAACCTCAATGAGAGTGTGCTGGTAGGGAGCATCCTTGAATCTTAGTTCTTGGAATTAAGGATGATCAGGAGACTGCATCTTGATCTGCTGTGTGCTGTGCTCTGATAGGGAGGCTCATTCACATACAGATGACCATGGTGGGAAGCAGCCATGGGGCTTCAGCAAGGTGACTTGCAGCAATGGGAGTACTGAACAAAATGCCTTGACTTGTGCTGCTTCTAACAATATCAGCCTTGTGTTGTTGTCTTCATTTTGGAAATCTGGTGAGTTCTGGCTTGCATGTAGAAAAGGTGCAACACTGTCTATGGGACTTCTTGGCTGCTCAGTAGCGGACATAAAAGGATTTTTAGCATTTTAAGTACAGAGGGGAAATGCAACCAACCTGACAAAGCAGTCTTGAGATGAATAAAATATGCATGCTGGCAATCCATCCATCAATGAGATCCAAGTTCTGCTGAATTGGCAGTTCACTTTGTTGCTAATTTTATGATGTAGATACTCGTCCACTGGGAGTTGGACTGAAAGGAACAAGTCTCTTGCTGCAGATGCTGACAGTGCTCTGCACAGGAGCTCTGTCAGTCTCTGCTGGATTGGCTTTTGTGGCTGCAGCCAGAGTTGCTGCTTTGTGAGGAAGAATAAGTTTTAAATAGGTAGCAGTGAAGATCCATGCGTCCTATTTAAAGCTGCTTAGGTAATCGCTGCAAGAACACAGGGTGAGGAGATCCATGCCCCAGAAAGACTTGCATAAAGATGTTGAGGAAAACCTGGCCAACTATTTCTGGTCCCGTTATTAACTCCTACTCCTAATTACATAGTGCCTTAAAATGGGCCTGCTACTGCAATAAGTGATGTTCTTCTATTTCCTTTTATTCAATGGAGTAAAAATAGTTCACTTGGCTCATGGGCTTTATTTAACTGAGTGCTAATGCAGAGTTCAGTTGGTAATATATTGCAGAAACAGCAATTCCTTTGTACCAGTCCCTCAGAGCTGTCTTTTCTCTGCTGCCATGCAGCAAGTATGATTGGGACCCGAATAAATTATGTGATAGAAGGCCTGATGGTACCTCCTAAAACTAAACTGCTGCTCATTGAATTCGACGATGCTTAATGGACTAGTGAACTCTCTGCAGTCCATTTGGTAGAAGTAAGGAATTCCAGGAGTGTGAGACCTTGCCACAGTAGGCTCGCTACGCCTCTTACTTCTGCATGTGCTGGGATTGTGAAGTATGCACAACAGGGTGTCTCGCTGGATGGCATGTCATTATAAACACAGAGCTGATGCTCTACCAGCTAAGAAGGCTCTACTGTGAAAGCTCAGTTAGGTGGTAAACCCGAAGCTACCTTAGGCTTTTTCATTTTGCCTCCTAAATTTTTAGAGCATTGCGTGTATCCTAATTGAAGGGGTAATCATTGCAAACTCGACACAGATTTATGTGCAGTTCTCTAGTTGTCTGTCTTTACTGATGTTAAATTACCTCTTTCAGTTCTGGGTATTTGACTGTGTCTTTCTTGTCTCTTAGTTCAGTTTGTGTACAAAAAGCTCATGTTTGATGCTCATCCTGTCTTGGCAGAATTATTAATTCTTCCTCTTTCCCCAGCTTTGAAGAAGAACCAAAACTTGAATGAAGCAATATGAAACTGAAGCAATCGTCAACGATTTCCTTTAATTGAAAACTACTGCCAGTCTGAAAATCCTGGCTAGCCATTAAGGGAATGTGACAGCTTCGCCAGTCATTACATAAATGCCACAGAGCACAGGGCTTCCTACTGTCGTCAGCTGCAGCGAACACAATGGAGCTACAGACAGGAGCAGGCACTACTGGGATGATAAATGTTTGCATTTCCAATTAGCGCTGAGCCCTTGTGGCATCTCCCCTCAGTCTAATTGAGGCTCTTGGGCGGCTTCCTCCGCTAACCATGCTTGTGTTGTCTTCTTGCTCTTCAGTTGAATGAGTTTTGCTCTTAAGAACATCAGTTTCTTTTTTGCTGGTCTCTGTCGGGGTGTCTCTTCTCCTCAGAAAATCTCACTTTTTACAGGTTAATGCAAGCTTTCTGCTCTTTCCATGCTGTGGCTTTTTGCTAACCACTGCATTACAGTGTCCTGGGTGTGTGTGGGATGTTGTTGACTTGACCTGACAACGTTATAGTTTCCTGACATGCTTCTTCTCCCCACCCCCATTGCTAAATGACAAACGTCAAATCTGTGTTTAACAAGGTACATTTTTTGCAAATACCTACATGAATGCATTGTACTAGGAATTATTCCACATTAGGGGATAACGGGGCTTAATTCTGAGCCCTGTGCTCTATGTTGGTCTTCTGGATTGGAAACTTTTGAATGAGAGAATGATTAATGATCTGGCTGCTTTCAGTTGCTGTTAATGTGCAGATTGGACTCGGAGCCAAGTAACTTAGATGGAGAGTAGCGGGGGTGTGTTTAACTGTGTGTGTTAATATATTTTCTTTATGCTGCATCTAGTCATTTCCTCTGGAACACAGATTTCCTCCAGGAAACCTGCTTATATGGGTTTTGGGTATGCTTTAACATAAGAAGCTTTTATTTTTCCCACCCTGCTTAGCAAGCTCCAACTCCAGTCACTACTTGGACTTCTCCTGTTGAAGCCCTGCCTTCCTGTAATCAGAAGTGAAAACAGAGGCAAGTCTGCACTGTACCACAGCAGACAAGGGAGCCTGTCCTGACATTCCTGACATCTGCAACAGCAAACTTGCTTGTTCAGGCATGTAGCCACAGGAGGGGAGTCTGCACTTCTGGAGATGAGGAAATAAAGAGGATGATTTGTGAGCTGAGAGCTTTTAGAAATGATACTCTTGGTTCCTTCTGTCTCAGCTTGGATTTTCTTTTTTTTTTTTTTTTTTTTCCCCTCTTAACTATGGATGCAATTTATTTCTCTTGGGCTGTTTAAAAGCACTGTTAGAAAGGGGGAAGTGGTTGGTGGAGATGAGGAAGCTGCTGCCCGGGGATGGGAACAGCCTGAGCTGGGCTCTGCAGCTCTCAAAGCTTGAGCTGCTCGACTGAAGCACAAGTGAGGTGAGTTCATTGGTCGCTCCAGGAACCTCGGTGTAGCTGGCATTGATTGTGAAATTGGTTATTGTTTGACACTGCCAGTTATTTGTGAAACAACCAAAGCAAGGTTGAAACATGGCAATTTAAGCTGGCGTTGCCTCTCTGCAATTTTGGATACAAGCCTAATGTGGTGGAAAGGGCTTGGCCTGAAGCATTCTGTGTGCCTGGGTTACTGTCCCATTGGTCATGCATGCCCACACCGTGGAGGTGGTGGAAGCTGGGCCTTGATTATTTAAAACAAAACAGAAAGAAGCCTCCTTAACTTGATTGAAAGGACAACTCTGTTGCTAGGAATCGAGCAGTTATAATTAGTCTGTTCTTCTTTAGAAGTGTAGCTGTGTGGTACGATGGCTTAGCACATCTATCTGCCCAGGAAGGCATTTTGTACCCCTCCTGCTCAGAAGTAGTGCCCACTGAGGTGGTTTCTCTCCCCTCCTGCAAAATACAGGCTTGGGAATCCCACCTGGCAGTTCTTGCATTTAGTCCAAACAGTTGGGGTTGAATTAAAAGCTTTTTTTTGTTTTGTTTTAAAGGACCCTTCAGTCTTTTGGCTTTTAAAGTCCCGAGCGATGAAGTCCTTCAGCATTCCAGTTGAGTTGTAACTGGTCAGTCATCCTTTACGTCTAGCACTATGGAAATACTGCTGGCAGTGAAGCAAGACCAGGACTTGGCCATCTGCCATCAGCGTGTCTGCCTCCCTTCCCCCTCCTCACCCCCACCCACTCTGCCTGTAGCAGGAATATGTTCTCTCCTACATGTGTGCTTATACTGAGTCATTATTTCAGTGATTTAATTTAGTGATTTCATCTGCATCTCTGGGTGCTGGCAGCTCCTGCAGGAGTCTAACAGGCAAATTCTAAGGAGAAATGAGCAAACTCTACTCTTTTGTAATCCTTTAGTTACTAGAACTTCATGGAAACCTAGGGATTCTTTTTCGTTCGCATGTAAATGCTGATGCACTGATGGCCCTTGGCCTTTGTTTTTGTTCAGTTGGCACACTTGCACACTCGAAGGTGCAGTAGCTGGCTGGGGAGACAGCTAGATGCTACAGTTCCAGAGTTTTCTAATCACCTCCAAATGTGAGAATCGGTCTGTCCTCCCTTGGGGCGTGTGCATGGCTGTGTGTACAAGCCATCTCTAGCCATGGGTTAGGAGGGTGCAAGGAGACTGGTGCAGAGTTAAAATGCTTGCTCTGATCAGGATCAACTCAATTAAAGGACAAAGCTCCTGCCTTTTTTTCTGGGCAAAACACCCTTTCCTAACCCTGGGAATGACAGAAAAATAAAATCTTGGAAAAAATCTGAGCTTTCCTTCTGTTAGTAGGCAGAGAGGGAAGAAGTTGCTGAGCATCTCCCTCCCCCTCTCTTGTTTAATATAGTTTATTCATCTGTAAGTTGTAGTGAGGAACTTACAGCTACTGTCTTGCCAGACTGCATGAATTATAGATGGCTCTTTTATGAGTTTTCGTGTTGACTCCAGCAATTAGTATGCGTTGGACATAGTTATCTTTATGGCATCTACTGTAGCGTGGGTTTCAGCCCCTCTGACTTTTTAATTACTTTCTGTTTTAGCAATCAGTCATCTGCCTGTCTTGCTAAGGAATGCAAAGAAAACACAACCAGCTCGGTAGGAACTTACAGTTCAGTGTGGAGCACCAGGTTTGAAACGATGTGGTTCACCAGAAGGAAAAATGACAAAAATAGAGCATCTTTGTTCTCGTGGTTTTTTTTTTTTTTTTTTTTTTTTTTTTGATCCCTTTGTGTCTGTGTGTGTTACACACAGAAGTGCCAGAAGGCTCCACATATGTTGTGGTCCTCTTCTGTGAGGTGAATGGCTTGGGAGCCTGTACTAGTACTACAGGCAAACTACAGGCAGAAATTTTGTGATTTTGAGCCATATCTGCTTTGCACAGGTCAGCAGACCTGCAGAGATCTTTACGCCCCTGTGTACTCAGAACTCTTGGGTGCTGCTGTTGACACTGGTGGGTGTCATCTTCTGTTCAGCATCTCCGCTTGCTCTGTCTTGCAGTGCCAAGTGGTTTCCTGATCTCGTGTCCCCTTGTGAGTGGTTGTCTGTTGCTCCTTCCTGTCTGCAGCAGTGTTCTGTAGGTGTGAAAGGAGAGTTGGTCAGGTCTGCTGTTCAACTCTGTTGAAGCTGGGATACTCTAATTGAGCTAATGGGCTTCAAAAGTTGATGAGAAGGAGCGGGGAGCATTTGAAAGCGTCTGTAACTTGACTTATGGCAGTCGTGGGTTCCAGTAATAAAACTTTTATTTTCATAAGTACTATGTGCTGAAAACCCCAAACTTTTAGTACTCCCAAATGGCTGCAGAAACAATAGTCCTACATCACAACCATGCCTTCCTAGTGGTGGTGTCTGTGGGGTTTGGGTTGAGTGCTGGTGCTTTAATATATACAGTAGTTGAGAACAAATGTGCCTGCAGCTCAGAAGTATTCCCTCATCTGACTGCAGTTGAAAAGTTCATGTGCCATTTCATTGCTTCCGCTGTTCAGTTCTTCATCCCATGGAAAGCTGAGATGAATTTCTCCGAGCACAGTCGTGCTGCTTTGGGGGGGGAGCTGGCTGGGTCCAGCGACACTCTGCGCTCCTCTTGGGATGGATCCCGCCGAGCAGAGTGACTCACGTCGGTGTCACGGTGCTGATGTTGTGCCAGGCCGTGAAGCAGTTGCCTGGTGCTCTCAACCTGAGCAGGGCCTGCACGGGGGTGGTTTAAAGCCTGCTTACACGTGAATTGGCAGGAGATTATTTTAGGAAGAAGGGAATTTGCACAGTCAACAAGACCAGGGTGAGGGAAACGGCCGCCTCTGTAACCACTCGGCGGGGCTCCGTGCTCCGGGGGCTCAGCTCTGCTGTAAAGCCCTGCAGAGGTGGGTGTAATTCGGTCAGGACAGGCTTTCACCCACGTCGTCCGGAGCCAGCCGGAGTTTGAAGTGTAACGGTGTTGAGTTTGGGGATGGATTGTGTCTCTGTATCACAGCGGGAGGACTCATGTAAGCAGGTTGTGGGTTTTTTTCCCTTTAAAGATTTAGTGGGAGAAGGCTTTTGGGAGCCCTCTAGGATAGTGCTGCTACTATGGGGGGTAACTTCTGTAGAACCAGTCTCTCAGTTTTTTGGGTTGAAGGATTTCTGTCAACCCCATCTCCAAACAGATTAAATAGCTCTTGTAACTCCAAGCATAAGACTTGGATGAGGAGGAAGAACTGGGGGCTTGGGCAATGGAGAAGAAAGGAGGGGGTGTACTTGTAGGCTTTGCCCATGTGAAAGCTGCAGTTATTAAATAGGTATAAACCAGTATTGTTTATTAAACCACATAACTTCTCAGAAGTTACTTGCTCATTCAGGGAACAATGTGAGTTAAACAAGAGCTTGTACTGCCAGTGTTTCTAGTCCTGCAGTAAACCAATAATTTTCCCTTCTGACTGAGGGAAGGAAAAAACCCTTAAGTTGAAAAACTGTCAGCAGATGTCCTTGGGGTTTTGCATTGGTGGAACTGAGAGTGAGGGTGCTTGATATCCAGAGGTTTTTCTGATTTTTCTTGGGTTTGGTGTTGCATCAAGTAGGAATATTTGTATCAATAGAAGAAACTTTACTCTGTCCCCTGTTTAATCCTGTGCCTCTGACAGCAGGTGTCAAGCACTAGTTCTCACCTGCTCACCTTTATACTTGGTGGGAGAAGGACCCAGCAATGAGTCAGTCTCCCTGGGCACCTCAGCCATGCCCACAGCTCCAGGACACAGTCTGGTCGGTGGGGGAATCTTTGGATGCACCTTTATTCAAACCCCTGTGGGGTGGTAAACCCAGGATATTGCAACAGCAAATGTGGTGCCTGCTCCTGGGGAGGGCCGTTTGGCAGGCACAGAGCTGCTAACATTCTGCTTCCTTATTTGCAATATATTCCTAGCACCCTCCCAGCAATTTGCTTTCTCATGGTTAAATAAGAATCAATGCAAAGAATGCAGCTCTTATGTGGCACTTGTGCTTGTGTCATTTCAAATCGTGTGGTTGTGCCATAGAATCATAGACTGGTTTGGAGGGGACCTTTCAAAGCCATCTAGTCCAACCCCCCTGCAGGGAGCAGGGACATCTGCAATTAGAGCAGGTTGCTCAGAGCCCTGGCCAACCTCACCTGGAGTGGTTCCAGGGAGTGGGCATCGACCACCTCTCTGGGCAACCTGGGCCTGTGTTTTGCCACCCTCACAGTAAAAAATTTCTTCCTTTTATCTGGTCGAAATCTCCCCTCCTTTAGTTTAAAACCATCACTCTTTATCCTGTTGCAACACACCCTGCTAAAAAGCTTGTTCCCATCTTTCTTCTAGGCCCCCTTTAAGTACTGAAAGGCCACCAGGAGGTCTCCTTGTAGCCTTCTTCTCTCCAGGCTGGACAACCCCAGCTCTGGTTCAGTACCACCCACTGGCACTGCTGTGTGCAAAGCCCATCAGCGAGCCCTCAGGATCTTCATGTCGCACAAGATGTCAGCACAGCAGTGGCTGACAGATTTACCAGCTGGGTTTTCGTTTAGAACTTTTTCCCCTGCTTATCCAAGGAGAGTAGTCGTCTGCACCACTTCATGGCTGCTGCTCCAGCTGTCACTTAGTTCTGCTCCATTTTATACCGAAGAATGGCACGAGGCTGAGGCATAATGTGATGGGAGATGCACAGGGCACGTGCCAGAACACGCCCAGACAAATGCACAGCTCTTTTCCCCCCACCCCTCCCAAATGCCCTAACTATCCCACAGTTAACATCAATACCCCAAATACTAGTTTGTCATGTTAAATTCCACTGCACAGTTGCGTTGGGAGGACGCAGGGCTGGGGTCAAGCCTAATGGGCTGCTTGATGCTGCCAGCCCTCCTGTGTAAGAGCAGGCGTGTAGAAACTGGGAACCAGCTAAGCGGAGGAGAAGGTGGAGCTGCAGAGCAGCTATGACTTGGTGGGTGACAGCTAAGGAACCCATGCTTTCAGCAAAGTCTAACGCGGTGCTGCCAAGTGCCTTCTGCAGGCAGCATTTGCCTTTTGTAGGTCCCTGCAGCTGTGGGAGCAGCATGCCCCAAGTCCGAATCACACCAGTTAGGCTGAGCATCAGTAGCTTGGTGAAAGAAGAGCCTGAAGGCTGGATGGATGGTGTGTGGTTGTAGGACTGTGGTATGGTTGTAGGATCTGGCTGGAGTGTGACTCGGAGTTGTTCCTTGGGGTGCATCCTAAAGAAAAGCAGCTCCCTGGAAGCCAGCAGTGATCTCAGCTCTAACAGAGTTCTCGCTTGCAGAGGGCAAAGGGCTTTTGACTTTCTGCACCCAATAATTCTCCCCGAGTGAAACATCTTCCTTACTGCTTGTGAAATTCATAAATTTGTTGGATTGCTTTTTCCACCCAAACACAAACTGTTCCTGCTTTGCTGTCTGTTCTGCAATTATGTTCCCAAAAGAAAGATGGGAGTTACTACAGATGAATTCATTTCCAGAAGGATCTCGCTGTAGCTGGGCTGTCTGGGGTAATGCTGATCTCATTTGGGAGGAACAAACTAGTTAGAATCAGAATAATCTATTACCCTGTTCCAAAGCTTCCATCTTTAAATCCACACAGCAGGGATTATTTACTTTAGGATTTGTGTGTGTTTGGGATCTAGTTTTGTGTGACCCTTCCAGCAGAACAATATGCAGTCAACTTTCTGGTGGTTTGAACCGTGCTTAAAACATGCTACGGCCACAGAAAAACCAGAGTTGGCCTGGGACCAGTGACGGCCGTGGCATGGCATCTGAGATAGCATGGGTACAGCTCTGTGGCTTCCTGGCCACCTCTGCCTCTGAACCAGTTCAGCAGTTTTTTAGCAAAGGAGCCTGAGCGGCTGCGTGGAAACTTTTGGAGTGCAGACTTGAGTCCCTCCCTCTGTGTCACTGATGCAAACCTCTTGATGTAGCTGTAAGTGGAGCTGGCATGGTTCTGAGAGGTCTTGTGAGCTCAGCAACTTCTTGTCTTCTCTTGGGTATCCCTGCTCTTTGCTACCTCGAATTTATCACTCTGCCTCCCTGCCCTAGATTTCTGCTCCATAGTTTGCTCAAGAATTGGCTGTATCCTGAAACAGGCTTTTCTTAATGATCAATAACTCAAATGCTTGATCATAGTCTCATTAACAGAAAAAACTTGGAGACTGAGCAGAATTTGTTGTGCTGACGCTGGATCTGTGGCAATATGAGGTTACAGGCTAGTCTGCAAATACTTGCTTGTGGTTTATTTGACAGTGTGTGATTCTAGTTTACAAAATAAATAAATAAATAAGGTTTCTTATTTCTTTTTCCCCTTCCTAGTAACACCCTCCCCAACTGAAGATGTCTAATAATGGAGTGGAAACAGAAGACAAGCCACCAGCTCCTCCAATGAGAAATACCAGCACTATGATTGGATCAGGAAGCAAAGATGCTGGGACGTTAAACCATGGCTCCAAACCTTTGCCTCCCAACCCAGAAGAAAAGAAAAGGAAGGACCGATTCTACCGCTCTATTTTACCAGGAGATAAAAGTAGAGTATTTTGTCTCTTCTTATAAGTGTCCTGTCTGAGTGTTGCTCTGAGCAATGTTAGTTGAGCACCTAATGCTTAGTGATGGTTTACACTGTAGAAAATGTTCTGTGTTTGTTTCCTGCACAATTGTCTTGCTCATTTTGGGGGTACATAAGGTGTACCATAGATCTATTTTTTGTAATGATTAATCCTGCCACGTTTAATCCGTGACATTTACTGTGTTTTGTGCTACTTTTTTCCCCCTCCTTTTTTTTTTCCATTAAATTATGAGAACAGTGTCACTGAAAACTGGGACTAGCCCTGCCACTTTGCAGCCTGGCTTGTCCTTAATCATCTTGAAAATCATAATTTTTTTGTGCCAGTTGCAAGCTGGCCAATTAAAGCTGGCATGGCAATAGCTTTGGTGGGGAGCAGGGGGAGATGTTTTCCTTGTTTGTTGTTTTAAACAGCAAATAAATGGAGTTAAGCATGACTAAAAGGCCATCTCCTGCTAGGCCTGTCATATGTTACTGCATGGTCATTTACTCTGCTTTAGTGTCTGGGTCCGGCATGGTCTACGTGCTGTTAAGAATAATCTGTTACTGCAAATTCTTGCACGTTTCTTGTGAACTAAAAGAATTTTCTCATGTTATAGGGGCTGTAACAGATGGAAACAGAGATAGGAACTGTGAACTGTACATGAAATTCTGATTTTTAAGATCAGGATATTTAAGAACCCTTTTTCTCATTAATCTTTTGAAGTGATGCAAGAACAAAAAAAACCCTCCACCCTCTAACATGAGATGGATTCTTTTTATATCTGACCTATTTTTGACTTTCCTCTTTCTAATGCATAAACTTTTTGTATAGCCTGCATTGCAATGGTGTCTGGACACTAGGCAACTAAAGTCAGGTCTAGGTATCTTCAGCTTCCTGGGAAGCTGCCCCCTTAATTTTTGTTAGTGAGAAGACTAATTGGAGGAGATCTTCTCTGGAGATACTCAAAACCCTCCTGGACACATTCCTGTGCAAGCTGCTCTGGGTGACATTGCTTTAGCAGAGGGGTTGGACTAGGTGATCACCAGAGGTCCCTTCCAAACCCTACCATTCTGTGATTCTGTGAGTGATAGTTTCACTAATTTAAATAAGCAAGATGTAGGTCCACTTTCTACAAAATACTGCAACATTCATTGTTGTCATTATCTGATACCTTTGGCAACTTCAGATTGTTTTATAAATGTGGATTTTTGATTCTACAATCCAGAAGCCCATAAACTCAATGTTAAAAGTTTTCCAGATCTCCATTAGAACTTGCCATGATGAGTATTAATCCTAAAAAGCTGCAGAATTTTTGCGTGGTCTTACTTGAGGGAGTGGGGTTTTTAAATCTCTAGGGTCGACAGTTGTAGAGAACAAAGAAATCAGCTGAAATTTATAAAGGAGTAAAACAAATGCAATCTGAAATGCCAGTTTGAACTGGATTTTAAAGGGGAGCTGCAGAAGTAAAATCAGCAGACTCTGCCACTGCCTTGAAGATGCCTGTATTTACTGAAGATTGGCCAATGTGGCAGATGCTTGGAGACGTGAGAGATTTTTGTTAAGCCAAACCCAGCAGAGCCTTCTGTTGCAATACACCTGCTTGAACGAGAATGGCTGCTCCTGTCCTCTGATTCCTGTCAAGCAACAAACACCTTTAACACTGTCACCTTCACTTCAGATTGGTGGATTTTTCATCATATGAAAACTTCCTTTAGTCTCATGAAGACAAGTAAATTCCCGGTGCCTTCTGCTGCTTAAACGTTCATAAAATCCCCAAGTGTTCAGACACCTCTCTATGGTTTGTGCACGAAATAATTTGGTGTTGTTGGTTTGGCTGGACTAAAAGGGGAGTTGGTTTCTGCTTATTACAAAAATGTGATTTTGGGCAATTCCATGACCCCTGGGTATTCATCCAGGGAAGCCAGTGATTTCTGCTTAACCTCTGCTGGGGTTGCAAAGAGCCTGCAAAGATCTGAAATGCTCTGTGGTTCCTTTTTTCTAGCAGATATGGACATGGGCTTTTATGCTGTGGCCTGAAAGCTGCTGAAGTTGGTGCCGCCAATCCTTTCAGAGTAGTGGTAGCTTTTTACTCTGGGCAGGGAACAGTGCTGGAGACAGCACTTCATGAAGGATGGGTGGGGAAGGTGATGAAGGGGTTGTTTTATGCAGAGGTGCTGCTCAAACACATGGAGTCTTGCTGTCAAGCAGGCAACAAACCTATTGACAGCTTTTGGGTTCAGGTCAGAGGGGAGGCCAACAAAGGGGGACATCCTGAGAGAATCTTTTAAAGGTTGCTGGGTCAAGAAGCATAGTTCTAGCTGAAGGTGCTTTGGAAAGTGTCTCTGCCATTGCACTACCCCTGTGCTTCAACAGAACCAGCATGGAAAGGACACATGGGGCTTAAGTCCTGGACCTCATACGTGTTTGCACACTTCCACTGAGCTGTGTCCACTTGCCAGGCTGCTCTGGAGACGTTGTGCTCTGCCCACAGAATTTAGGATGTAATTTATAGTCCTGATTTCCTGGAGCTCGCATGACTTGTTGCTTTCAACAGGAGTTGTGCTCTTCTGAAGTTTCCTGGGCTCAGGGCTTATCACTGTCCTAGCCGGGGGTACGAATTTGGCTTGAATGTGGCACATTTAGCTCCTCTGAGCTTTGCTGAGCTCAGCTGCAGTTGCCCTTTCCATGCTGACAGGAAAGTGCTCCTTTTCCTCAACCTTTCGAGATGAGAAGACCTTTCTCATCTCAGTATGCTTCAGGATGGGCTCATGGTGGGACATCTTAGTTCCTAGTTGTTGCTCAAGTTGCCAAAACATCATAGGGAAACTTTATGGAAACTTGTAACAGTGTCAAAGGTGTGAGGTTTTGAATGAGAAAGTGTGAAGGTATTTGTGGGAATAAAGCACTGGCTGGTAAGCAGACCTACTTAAACAGATATGTGATTTCACTTTTGTTTATTTTTGAATGTATTTAAGATGCTTCAAGGCTTTTTGAGTCATTGCTAGAATAATATAATCACTGTAGAGGGCAATTAAGTGCATAGCAAAATTGAAAGTGCCCATCTCTTTAATGCTTTTTATCTTACACCTCCTGCTATAACATAAATAGCTACTACAAAAAGCAATGATGTTATGGTTTAACATGTTTAGGCTTTTAGATCTGTCAGATTTTGGATCAAAAGCTTCTGAAGTTCGTTGCCCTCTGAGACTGCTGGACAGAAACCTCTGAATTCATGTGCCAGCTTCATGTGCATTGATATGATGGTGAATTCAGCCTGGATGCTATAAAATACTGCCTGTGGCAGGGAGATTTTTAAAAACTATTTTTAGAAAAGTGCTTAAAACTTGAAAAAAAAGTGTTAAAAAGCAATTCTGGTTTCACCTGCTGTAACATTATTGCTAAGGCAAGGAGATTTTAGTGTGTTGGTGATAGATGTCCCAAAGAGTTGCTGAGAGTCAGGGAAAATGCAAAGGGGTTTAGATGCTGTAGGAAATGGTTGCAGGAAACTAATTGGGAGAACATTAACTGCTTCAGGGGTATGAAAACAATGAAAGTCATAAATGCAGAAAAATCTCTTCCCATTTCTGTAATGCAGTGTAGCCTTACTGAAACTCTCTGTGTCACACATGAACAGAGAGCTGGAGTGTTGATGTGACAGGGGCCATTTTGTTATTTACTCAGCCCCTCCAGAACTGTTTTTATTGCTCTGTGTAGCCAAGGTTCACTCATTTCTGCTCTGGATAAGTTATCAGTCAGCAGCCAGCTCAGTTCGCTGGATGAATGGATACTGGGACAGTTGGTTGCAGAGACGTTTTGTTGGGATTTGGGCTTGCAGCAAGGAGCTTGGTCTGTCTGAACGCAGCAATCAAAAAAACACCTCAGGATATTGACTTCTGGGTAGAGAATTAGTGCCCTTGAGGTGTTTTTTAGGGATATGTTCAAACCTACTGGGGCAGTTGTCCCAGACTGTGTGTGGGTGTCGATCACCCATGCAGCACTCTTGCATAGTGGTGCTTGTTCAGGTGCCCTCTTCTTCCTCACCTGAGTGATGGGCTTCTAGCTCAGCTGACACCTTGCTCTTTGACTACTGATCCTGTAGACAGGCCCATAGAACGTGATGCTTCTGTTGGCTCTCTCTACATCTTCTCTTCCCCTCCTGCTTTCTATCCACCACTAATGAAAGTGGTGTCTACCTGCTGGATGCAGCTGCTTGTTCTCTTTTTGGCAGGCCTCCATGCTGCAGATGCTCACCATCTGCTAAATTGCAGCTGCTTTGGTCTCCTTTTGGCTCTCTCCTCTGTCATGGCTCCTCCACCATTGCATCTTTCTCTCCTTCCCCTTTGCAACTCTGTCACTCCTCTGCAGTTCAGCTTCCCCTATCCCTTTGGTTTGAAAGAGGGATTGAAAGCAATCTGTTCTATCTTCGGGTCCCAAATGGAGCACTTGATCCTTGTCTTTCTCCAAAACTACCCTGTGCAACAGCATCTCTCTAATGACAGAGAACAGTGCCAGAGCTGGTGCTGAAGGAGACAGGATTTGGCCCTTTGGGGCAAGGCCTGACCATCTCCACCCAACTAACCACCAGCAGCACCTCAAGTAATTGCAATATGGAGCACTAGCCTCACAGGTTTCTGAAATACCTGAGGTCTGGCGTTCATGTTGCCAAAAATGCACTGAGGAATGTCAGCCACGAAACAAATTCTGTTTGGCTTTAGATACAAAAGGTAGCAGCTGGGAAATGTAAGTGGTTTAGTCACCTTCTCCTGGCTCTGCTGATTTTATAACTGCAAGCAGCAGCAAATCCAAGTAGAACATTGTTCTTCCTTAAACTGATCTTAATTTCTTGAATACAGTAGAGATTAAAAGGAAGATGGAGTCCTTAATACGTCAGGAATAGGGATGAACTTAAGGCAAGGCATAATGATTATCTTGTTTGAAGACCTAACTTTAAAATTTGCAGAGTGCATCTGCTTTGATTTATTTCCTTTCCTGTTTCTTCATGACTTCTGCTCCTCACCTACCAGGTTCTGCCTTTTCAGTCTGTCTTCAAAGCTTGTTATCAAAACCACATTTTGTTCATTTTGTGAGCAGAAAAAAAATATGAATGGTTTTGCTCATTAAAGAATTTATAGCAGAAGCACACGTTATATTGGATTTTCTTTATAAACTCTGTTTTGAGGAAGCAGGATGAAGAAAGTAATTTCTAAGCAGTATATGTAGTTAATTTTGTTCCTCTCTTAATATAGAGAGGTGAGTCTGTATTTGACAGCACATATATATATATATAATTTTTTTAAAAGTTGCTTAAAATGAATGAAAAAATGTGTTCAAAACTTCGTGGCCTCCACTTACTGCCACTCTAGTGCTTTTGCCTCTGACCTATATAAGTTTGAGTGAATATTTTAGGTAAATAGCTCTTGTGCTGCTGAGCTCTACCTGTTAATACTTGACATACCGAAAATATCAGTTTCCTTGAATTACCCTTGTCCTGTGTTACAGGACTTTGATTTTTGTTGTCCACTCGCTGTGTCTGCTCTTAAGTGAGGTAACAAAGTTTTTAAACATGCTGTTTGTCTGCCCCAGATTGAAGTCTTGTGACTAGCAAAGTGGGTCACTTTGGCTATGTAGGTAGGTTGGAATCTACTGAGGAGATTTTAAGTCTTGACAGATTTATGAATTTATTTTTGGTTTTGTTGTCTCTTCCAGCCAACAAAAAGAAAGAGAAAGAGCGGCCAGAGATCTCCCTCCCTTCAGACTTTGAACACACCATTCATGTGGGGTTTGATGCAGTCACGGGAGAATTCACAGTAAGTGAGTCTGGAGGAAAAGAGAACTGTGTGGTTTGGCTGATTGCTGGCAGGAGCCACGACCCATTAATCTTTTATATAGTAATGCTGGAAAGGCTATTACCACCATCTAGTTTGATCTCCTTTGAAACACATCTGCAGAGGTTACCCA